AATAATGCAATATATGTTAAGAAAAAAAAAGAAGAAGATAGCAGGAGGGGAAGAATGAAGGGGGGAAATCGGAGGGGGAGACGAACCATGAGAGATGATGGACTCTGAAAAACAAACTGAGGGTTCTAGAGGGGAGGGGGTGGGAGATGGGTTAGCCTGGTGATGGGTATTAAACAGGGCACATTCTGCGTGGAGCACTGGGTGTTATGCACAAACAATGAATCATGGAACACTACATCCGAAACTAATGATGTAATGTATGGCGATTAACATAACAATAAAAAATTAAAAAATAAATAAATAAAAGGAGTGTGCCCTAAGACAAATTACTTACCCTCTGTGATCCTCAATGAACGCATCTAAGGGAGGGAAAATAATGGTACCTATTTCATGGGATTGTTTTAGTGATTAATGAGATAATTCATCAAAATCCAATTTAAAACAGTTTAATACCTAACACATAGAGAGTACCCGATAAATATCAGATACACGACCACTAGTTTACAACGGCTATTTTTAATTGTAAGTCGAATTGAGTGGTCTTGTTAGAAAAACAGACATTATTTTAAAGGACATGAATGGAATTATAACTCACTTCATGGTTATAGAAGTGCCCGTTAATAGAGGCCCTGTGCTTCTGTAACTTTTTTCCGTCCATCGTTGGAGGCTTCATCCTTTTTCTCACCAGGGTTGCTTCGCTCATGGTGCGATAGAGCAGTGGGGATTCTGGCTCCTCTTTTGCATAAGGTTTCAGAGTGCTACTGTGATAAGATAAATGACCTGGGAAGAATAAAGGTTATAAGGCCATATCATTTAGCCACCTACCTCTTTGGGTGGATTTGTATATGTATTTGATAAGAAAATATGTAGCTAAGCAGTGAACTATAATGTTTTCAAACAGTAGGGAACTGTTCCATTTTACCTTGGGATTTTAAAAAATTTCCTATTGTAATTAGCGTATCACCCAATAGGCATGAGGTATTTCATCTTTCTCTAGCACTGGTGCTTAGATACCGATAGATTTATGGTACCTTTGATGCCAAGAAGCTGGGATTCCCCTGGGTTTAGATGGGTGTTTTCAAAGGGCTAACAGGAAGGACCCTTATATAAAAGATGCCAACAGCCATCAGACAAAGATAAGGGAATCTTGGAAGGAGCATCATGTTTGTTATTGAGTGTGGGTTGTTATGGAGACGGCAGAAAGGACTGCATTGAGAAAGGCTTGGAAAAAATGAATAAACATTGGAAGCTGTTGGTTGATTCATGAAAATGATGTCAGCAGGATACCCTTTTCCATCTGAAGTCAGCTTGGTAATAGGACTACCCCAGAAATGTGAACTCTGCCCCCAGCCTCAGTCATCCGCTCCTTCCTCCTTGGATATCCATATATTATATGAAAACCAAATCTATGTAAGATACATGATGTCAGGCCTGACACTTAGCAGAGTCTCAGTAAGTGACAGCTACTAATATTACTACTATCACATCATCATTATGGCTCCTGAGGTCACATGTCATAGGAGCTGCCCTTTACCATTGGTTTGTCAAGTTCGATATGAACTTATCTGATGTTCAGGTTGATTTCTCTTTTTAAAATCAATGCTTGAAATGACTCTATCAAATATAGTGATTCCAGTATATCTGCCTCTTTCTGGGAAGTGGTGTATGTGACTATCTACTAACTAAAACATTCAACTTCTAAAAAGATGTAGAATCCAATCTGAGGGGATTGGTCCAACATAAAAAGCTACTGAGTATAATAAATGATCCTAATCCTTGGGGAAAATATTAAAGAATTTTATGTATACAAATTTATTCAAACCATTAGCTTTCCCTAATCTAGTAAATCTAAGTGATTTGATGTAATTTTAAAAATGGTATTTTTATATAGTAAAGGTTCTTAAACATCATATGAGCACTGTAGTGACTTAAATTAGTATGATCCTAAGAGATTTTTTTTTTTATTAAATAGTGGTGTGTAAAATGTTAAATCTCAGAGAAACATCTAGGATTCATGCTTTCCATTAAAAAAGAAGTCTCTCCATTAGGAAGAATGTGATACTTACCTTCTTGGGAATTTGTTGCTTCAGACGCTGGAATCTGGGTCCTGTCCAAATCACTAATATGGTAAAGATCATCAAACTCTCCCCAGCGTGTCATTCCCCTGAAAAGTAATAAATCTTGTAAATGACATCAATTTTATTCATGATGGTTTTCAGACTTATAGTATTAATATAGTACTGAGGGCCTTCATAGGTAGGCATATCCTAAATTATGACAATTTTATGATATTATTAAAATTATATTTATACCAGAATGGTCAGCATGTGTTCTCCCACACTGATTTTAAGCAAATCTGATATAATAATTCAGTTATACCCTGAAAGGCAAGGTTGTATAGATTCTATAAAATGTGTATTCACATGGAATTAGTAGAAATCAACACAATCCATTGTTCCACAGATACCTCACAATGCTCTTGGGAGAGTTTAGATATAAAAGTGTTCTTTCTGCCAACATGCTTTGAGTTCCTATTGTATTCAGAGGCTTTTTAGGTAGAGTGGCTCTCAGTAAGATGTGGTGCCCACTTCTAAGGCTCTTTACTACTATGAATGCGATTAACAAAGGAGGAAAGTGTATGAGAAGCTTCTTTTCTAAAACATTATGATTTATATATAGGACACTAACAATTTTCTTTCTTTTTTTTTTTAAGATTTTATTTACCCATTTGACAGAGAGAGACAGCGAGAGCAGGAACACAAGCAGAGGGAGTGAGAGAGGGAGTAGCAAGCTTCCCGCCGAGCGGGGAGCCTGATGTGGGGCTCGATCCCAGGACCCTGGGATCATGACCTGAGCCGAAGGCAGACGCTTAACCGACTGAGCCACCCAGGTGCCCCGGACACTAACAATTTTCAATGCATTCTAGTGATTAGAATACATAAAACTGGGCAACTACTTATTTTTACCAGCAGGGCCAAGAGTCACCTTTATTTATCTGGTCTTAGTCAAGTTACTTATTTTCTCTGTGCCTTTGTGTCCTTACCTATAAAATGGGGATGATAATAGTAGGGGGTAGAGACAGGGCTGCTGAGAAGATTAAATGAGATAATGTGTAAAATTATTCAAACATAGTAAGCATGCAGTATGTGTTAAAAATTACCAAATTCCTCCTCATCTTCATTATCATCCTCATCACCCGTACCCATTTCATGGTAGGCCAGGAACCATTAGGGATCTAAGATAGCCCTGGGTCTCTCTAGGTTAATGGATACTATCACTGCCGGGAGTGGTCTTATTCTTACTAAAAATCTCTTCCATAATGTCTGTTTTCCTTATGACCAAAACCCATAAGTGGGGGCACATACTCTTTCCAAATGTGGCATTTGTAGCACTAATTCTATCCAAATGTCACTGGTGGCAACAGTAACGAAAAATTCTTATTCAGACTAGTGATGGTGAACATGACAAACATGATTTTCTCCCTTGATCCTTGAATCCTTTTGATTTTTTTTATAACTTTTATATCATTTGAGCCTTATACTAGTCTTACGATATAAATAAGGTAATCCTAATGTATTTGTTAGTTAATTTTTCCATAAGCTCTACTATCCAGAAGATAGCCAGTTAAATGTCAGAAAAGTCCAAGAACTATGGGTAATAACGAACTCAAAGGAGACCTATTCAGGTCCTGACTCGGAATCAAGTTATTCTTTTTTTTTTTTTAAGATTTTATTTACCCATTTGACAGAGAGAGAGAGAGACAGCGAGAGCAGGAACACAAGCAGGGGGAGTGGGAGAGGGAGAAGCAGGCTTCCCGCTGAGCAGGGAGCCCAATGCGGGGCTCGATCCCAGGACCCTGGGATCATGACCTGAGCTGAAGGCAGAGGCTTAACGACTGAGCCATCCAGGTGCCCCAGAATCAAGTTATTCTTAAGCTAGATAAAATTACCCATCTTCCCCAATCTATAAGAGATTAATTATCACAAGGAGGCAGATGTTATTATCATAGAAAGAGTGTTAGCAATGGGGAAGGCTCAATACCAATGAAAAGCGGAAACTAAAATGGGAAGGCAACCTGAAACTATTTCATGTGGGGGAAGATGAGAATGCCCGAGAGCGCCACGCCAGTGGTATTCCAAAAATCCTTGGTAATGTTGGCCGACTTGACACTTGTCCTCGCTTTCTTACAGTTTAGTGGTGTCACACAAATACAGGGGGGCAAACATGGCTCAGTACATGAGTGTTTGGCCCTTTTTCCTCACTACCCATCTTAGTAGAAAGCATCAGGGTTTTTGTTTGTTTAAAAGATTTTATTTATTTATTTGACACACACACACACAGAGAGAGAGAGAGAGAGAGAAACAGAGCATGAGCAGGGGGGGGAGGCAGAGGGAGAAGGAGAAGCAGGCTCCGCTGCGCTGAGCAGGGAGTCCAATGCAAGACTTGAGATTCGACTCAACTTGATCCCAGAACCCTGGGATCATGATATGAACAGAAGGCAGACACTTAACTGACTGAGCCACCCAGGCGCCCCACTTCTGAAAGCACCAGTATTGAGCTCTGGATTGTGTAATTCGAAGAATCATCCACACACAGCTGTTGCACATGACTACACTTGAGGGCAGTTAACCAGAGTTGTTCAAAGAAAACTGGATGGAACTTTATGCAATATCACATAGCGTAACTTGCCCAAGCACGGGACTGTTGGTACTGCTCTGACCATGCTTCAGGATGTATACTGTGATAAATTTAAACTGTGGGGAAGTTTTCTGATGAGTTGCAAAAGAAAAAGGAGGTAGTAATTTGATAGACAAAGCGAATGTGGTCATTTTTCTACCTGTGTTGTAAACACACACACACACACACACACACACACACACTATTAAGGTTATTCAAATGTACGCCTGTCCGGCTTCTGTTCTTTATGTCATTCTGTCATGATTTGTACAAAATGTGCCAAAGTTGATTTCACAAAGATTAAAAAAAAAAAAGACAGAACTGAAAACTGGTGCAAGCAAACGTAACCTCCGTAAGGCTGGGGGTTTTTTGAAAAAAACATTTTGAAAGATTTTCGAAACAAAATACTTGGACCAGATAGGAAAGATCAAAGTACTGCCCACAGGATTGTTTCCATAAAGGATCACAAGTGGTCACAGTTCAAACAAACTGATTTATATTTAAGCTTCCACCACTCCCTTTAAGCTGACTCAGGGTGACTCATTTCAAAGATAATTAAAACAAATTAGCATGACAAACTGATGATGCTCCCAATGGCTGAACCAAAAGACCAGACTGCAGCCCTTCCTGCCACTGAGTACACAACTTCCCTGCCTTTTACTCCATGTCCACCCACTGCAGATCCCACATCTGGGACCCTGTGGGAGCAGAGGGAGAAGTTCTGCACACAGGCCCCCAGGACGAGAAAGGGGACTTGAGAAGTGAGAGTGAGGGAATCGTCCCTTTCTTCATATGATTTCCTTCCATCCTCAGAATTTAAGCAAATGCCCCCTTATGGGTGGCAGCCAGAGTGACTGTGTCTGGGATTGGACTGAAACAAAGAATAGGACGTCAGGTGGCCAGGTGCCCCGCTAGGGAACCAGAGGCCAAGGAATAGCCATTCCAAATCATGCTGCCCCTTCCTGCTGAGTGTTGAGCTGCTTCCCATGAAAGAGTCTTGGCTGATTGACCACAACTGAATCTAATTTTGCCCTTGAGTGTGAGAGGGATAGCATCTCTTTCTGATCACTCTTAACCTCCAGAAGGATCTGATACCCTTCACTTCGAAAGTTCTAGTAAGTTTCATTACTGTGGTAAAGCGCAAGCTAAGTTCTCTAGGGAATTCTTTTGTCATCTTGAAACTAAAGATCATTCCTGTTTAGTTCACAGCAATGTTCTTTCTGATAAACACTGAAAAATGCCGTTGGTGTCGATGGAAGGCACATCATGAGAATATTAATTTTTAACTTACCACCGTGTATGGAGAGGCATCAACATTACTTTGTCCACCTGGTCTCTTGAAACTTGTGCCCAAATTGAGGATTTTTAGGAACAAGTGTTTTGAATGTTAATTTGCAAATTTAAAAATACCTTGGGGTAGCTATTTAAAAAAAGGCTTCATGTGATAACACAAGTACCTCACTGAATCTCCTTGACATCTTTCCTTAATGTTCCATACTTATTAAGTTTTCATGACTCAAATAATGAAAATGCATCAAAAGCAGCTGGCTGGTCGGAGAACTTTGCAATGAGTTTTTAGGTAACATGAATGATGATAGCTAATTTTGCCAAATTCATATCTTGCATGGTTATCTCAAAGCAGAGCCCCGGGGTAATTTCTCCTTTTACAGGATGCTCCTAGTCACTTAGAATCTTCAGCCCCATCAGTCATCTGGCCTCTGACGGTGAGGGATGTGGGGCTTCATCAGGCTGCCCAAGTCTGTGGTCTCCCTTCTGCTCTTCCACAAACACTGGACCCTTCGCCCATCGGCAACCATTAGCCTGGATGGGAGACTAGTCAGAAGCCGTAGATGGAGACAGTTTTCACGCAGAGCAGAGGTTAATTTCACTACCGGGCTTGTGGGCTCTATTCAAGACTCTATTTTGAGTCTCTTCTTTGTGCCAGGCACACTGCGGAGCACCAGGATAACAGATGAATAAGGCATGCTCTATACCCTGAAAAAGCTCTCAGACCAGAGGGAGAGGTAGGTGCATAAAAATGCAATTAAGGGTGTATTTTGGTGAAAGTGACCTAGGAAAAACTGTCAGTGCACCTCGTACAGAAGAAAGGGTCAGAAAATGCTTTCTGCGGAATGTGTCACCTTGTTCCCTGACCAGAATCTGAAAAGACTGAGAGAAGGGAGTCAGGCAAATAGATGTTGAAAAGCAGGGAGGAAGGAAAGTAAGAAGCTGCATGGTATGTATAGAGAATTACAAAATGTTCAGAACTGCTGGAGCATCATGTCTGAACAAATTGGCCAGGTGCAAATCATGGTGGGGCGTCAGTGGTTTTTCCAAAGCAAAAGTGGGGCTTCCCTCAAGGTGATACTTGGGTTCTTCCCGCTTATGGTGGAAGATCAGATTGAGGAAAAGGTCCTGGCTCTCTCTTCATCCTCTCTTCCTAAAACTCCAGCCCATCCGGTTTTAGATGTTAGAGATGGCAGGATGGGTAAGGAGAAGGCTTGGTACCTCTACATATACACAATAGGGAGATGAGCTGGAAAGTTGAGGATTAAAAAGGAGGGAAAGTAGGGAATTAGGAAGAAAAAAAATATGTATGATTCCTTCTGGGAATGTTTATTTTTCTAAAAATTGCAAAGGAGAATGAAAAAATTCAGCCCAACTTTTGTATTCAGGGTACAGTTGCATCAACCCACACAGAGGACGGTCTTGTGCAGTTACTGAGCTTCAAGGGCACTTTGTCGTGCCCTGTTGAACAGGATCAGGACAATCAGGCGGTGCATAATTAAAGCTCCTTTCCAGAAAGCAAAAGAGCCCTCTGTTCCAAGGAGAGGAGAAATTTTATCCCCCCTTTCCATGACCACGCCAGGCCTAGTGGAATCTTGCCTTTATATATATATATATTATTTTTTTTAAGATTTTTTATTTATTTCTCTGACAGAGAGAGAGATCACAAGCAGGTGGAGTAGCAGGTGAGAGGGAGAGGGAAACGCAGGCTCCCCACTGAGCAAGGAACCTGATGCGGGGCTCGATTCCAAGACCCTGGGATCATGACCTGAGCCGAAGGCAGTTGCTTAACCAGCTGAGCCACCCAGGCGCCCCAATATGTTTTGTCTTTTCTAACAAAGGAATTCAGTCTTCCAGGAGAGAAGCAACACAGCAGAGAGGTAGACCTGAGGTCTGCTACATGGTATTTGGAGATTTTGCACAAATAACCCAGCTTCTCAGAGCCCCGGGTTCTGAACACCTACTTCACAGAGTGGCTGGGGATCAGATGAGATCGTGTTATAAGCATTCGAGTTCCCATCTTTAAGAGTCCACACAATAAAGGTAAGTAAATATGAGGATGATTTTCTAAGGAGTTAAAACATGAAAGACAGCTTACCTTTTGGAAAAGACATCTGGCGACTTCACTTTAGTAAAAGAAGGGATTTGCTTCTCATCTTGGATTTTCAGTTGTATAGGCCGTTTTACTCCCCAGGAAATGTCCAACATTCCTTCAACAATTGGTTCTCCATCTTCTGTCTGGGGAAGAAACCAATCATCTCAAGCATGGTTTTTGTATTATTTATAGAAAGTAAATCTTTTAACGGAAAATGTAGAAATCAAGACTGTAAGACATTTTAATAGATAAAAATAAATTCCCCAGTGGGGTTGTTTGGCTTTTCAATTTATCCTCAAAATAATTCATTTTTGGAAACAGCTATAACCAGCCGAGTGAGTAAGTCATAATGGTAATGACATGCCCACCAGAGGGCACAGTATGCTAAAATGCTTTCTGAACTCCAAGATTCTTCAATGAACTGGAAGTTTAACTCTGTTATCTTTGAATTAAAGCAGAACTAAACACTGTACTAAACTAGAAATCGAAGAACAGCTCTCCGGAGACTTAGTGGCTGTTTCCTCATTTCTGAACGGGAAATTTTAACTCACAAAATTATTATGCAGGATGAGTGGAAAATGTACGAAAACGGTGTTAAATGTGTAACAGAAATTATTTATTTGAAAAAATCAATAGCATTTGACTAATTTTTAAGTTGGAAATATAACAAAAGAAGGAAATTCCATGCAAACATGGATTGTGTACACTTATTTAATCTTGTCTAAATCTGTAGGCCTCTTCTCTTCTAGGTCTACCCCAGTATCCTTGGTGATCTCAAGGATCCCTATAAGCTCTCTCTAAACTAATAGCTTCCAACTTTGTATTTCCAGCCCATACCTGAGCTCTGGTCAGCCAATTGCCTACCTGACATCAAACTTAATATCTTCCTAATTAACTCTTGATCTTTCTCCCATGAATATTTTCCTCTCCAAGTCTTTCCCATCTTGGCAAATAGCACCCTTATCCTTCCAGTTGCTCAGGCCAGGAATTTTAAAGTCGCCTTTACTCTTTCTTTTGTACTCAACATCCAATGCATTAGCAAATCCTATTAGCTCCATCTTAAACATTATATCCCTAATGTGACCACACTCACTGTATCCACTACCATGATTCTGGCCCACGCCATTGTCATTGTTTGCCTGGATTATTGCAAGAGTTTTCTTTCTCATTGTTTTCTTGCCCTTCCCTATACTCCCCTTTGCTAGACAGATCCTTTTAAAATGAATCCTTTTAGATAATGTCACTGTTCTATGCAAAACTCCCCTGGGGCTTTCCATCGCATTCCAAGCACATGCTAAGGTCTTCACAATGGTCTACAAGACCCACACACCCTGGGGCTTTCCTTTCAGTTATGTCTCTAGCTACTCTGTCCACTGATTCTCCATTCTCATAAGGTTCCGGCTCCCCTGGCTTCCCTGCTGTACTTCAGTTACACTAGCCAGGCTCGGCCCCTTACTCAAGCTGCTGTCTCTGTTCAGAATGTGTGTCCCACAGACTTCGGCAAAGTTGGCTTCTTTGCATCCTTCAGAGTCTTTGGTCAAGTGGTCCTCCTCCCCCACCCCACTTAGATCCCCTGCTTTGCTACTGTCCACAGTCTTTACTACCATTGGATATATTGTATATTTTGTTTCTTATCTGTCTACTATAATGTGAGGAGCATAAAGGCAAGACATTCTGTTCAGTTTCTTCATTGCTATAGCTACAGCTTCTAGAACAGTGTCTGGCACATGGCAGACAATCAAGATGTGCTTGTCTTAAACCAGAGATTAAGAAAGCTACATGTTAGCCTCCATATTTCCCCTTTGAACAGTATCTGTTATTGTAACCAAGGATATTTAGAAAATTCTGAATTCTAACTTTATTGACCAGTGAGTAAAGATGAAAAGATTAAACGATCTGATAGTCTCACTGTGTACTTCACCTCATGTAATTTTAAAAAATTAAATGACTTTTGTATTATAAATTGAACACTGTTCATAGAATTGGAAAGAATATGCCTCAAATTATATGTTCATAACATCAAAATTCCAAAATTTTCCTAAAGGAAACAAATACCTTAACATCATGAATTTTGTAGAAACTTCAAGTAAAATATAAACAATAATTTTTTAAAGTTTTGACCTTTTCTTAAGTTTTCTTAAATTATCTTTATAATTACATATATTAGAGATCTAAGATATAGGACAATATTGAAATAATTTAAAATTATGCCCGTTTCTTTGTAAAGAGATTAGTTATTTCCTTCTGCTATTACATTTGGGAAGGTAACTGAAATGTTCAATTGAACTAAATCAATTAACTTCTCTAGTAAAGGCCAGAGTGGTTTGCAAGTTTCCTTCTGTCCCAATGGCAATTTTAAGCCAAATCACAGTGGCCTAAAGTCAATGCTCTACCATCAAATTTGAAGATTGGAATCAGAGGTACAAAAGTCTAAAGTTCCCTGGGACCAGGAAGATATTGTAAAGATGTGAGGTGAGCTCCATTAGGATACAAGACTGAGTGGAGAGACATGTGGAGAACGAAGCATTCAAAGAAGGAGAAGAAGAGGAAGAATAAAAAAATCTAAGGCAGTTTGTACAACAACCTGCCATTTGCGCTCCTAAAAATGCATTCTAGCTTCAGGACTTTTCTGAATTGTTTCCTTCACATTTTGAAATTTGTTATAACATGGTACACATCCATTGGAATCTAACTGATTCATCTTAACGACCAAATCAAACTATGTTACTGCCCATATCATATTTATTCGAGCAATCCCCATTGGTATAGGCTTAAGGTATCTTCAAATTCTACTACAAATGATGTCACCATGGAATGACACCACCTTCTCTATACTTTCTGGTACATTTGTCAGAAAGTATTATGATAGATTTCCAGTGGAATTGCTGTGCAAAAGATATTTATACACTGTTTTAAAAATACAAAGTAAATAGGTCATTATAATTATTTTTAAATGCTTTCCCATCCCCAAAACTGTTTAAAAAGTCACATGTTCCAGGACTGGGATTTTGTGATATAGTCTAAAAATAAAAATCATGATCAAGTCAAAGATTCACCTGTTTTTCCAGACCACTTGTGCCGCTAGATTATGGACTCCAACTCATCCTGATTCCTCTATACCTTTATGGAATTCCTTTCTGGGAATCAAACTGTATTGTATTTCTTTGACGGGCTTACCTGTCCATATAAAATATGCAGATTTTTCTGGTTCCCATAAAAAATGTTATAGGTCTTCAATAAAGAATTAAGTTGTTCCCTAAACAAAAAAAAAGTTACATTTGTTTACAATCGAGCTCTTTAACAGTAAGAGGCAATAACAGTGCATTCAGGTCATACAGGTATGAGATAGAAATGGTTCAATGGAATCTTTACTGTTCGGTCATTTTCACTTACTGCAGATCATTGAGAATGGAAGTCTTCTTGGGACATCAACAAACACTGGAGAAGCTAATTCATAAATAAATAACCAAAGAAGGGAAAATGACTGAGGGCAAAGTGGTGGGGAGACTGTTCTGTGACAGGAGACAGCCACAAAATAGAGATCTGGTTTCACCCTTCTTTTTGGTTTTGCAACATTTAATCAGCCTAAATTAAGCACCTAGTATGTGCCTGACATCGTGTTTCCTACCCACGGTATGGTAAGGGTTCAGAAATGGTCACTGCTCCCGAGTTACTTATCCTTCGTGGCAGGTGGGATCTGGCTGCAGGAATACTGGTTCCTACCCCCTCCTCTATCCTTCGCCTGTGCCTCCACAGCCTGAGATCCTTACCCTTCCTAACTATCCTACTAGTCTGAGCCATCTTCTCTCACCTGGATTACTGCGACTGTCCCCTAAAAGCCTCCTGTATCTGTAGTCTGTTGTAACAGCAGGTATTATTTTAATGCAAACCTGATCGTCTCTCTCCTCGGTTCAGCACTCTCCAATATCTTTTCATTATTCAGGATAAAAGCCAACATCCTTCCGATGACTTAAAAGGCCAGATGTGATCTGGTCTTCTGTTTCCCTTTGATCTCATTTCCTATTATCCTTTCCTTCACTTGCTACACTCTAGCCACTGGCCTCCTTGATGTTCCTTAAATATGTCAGGCACATTCTCACCTCAGGGCCTTTGCACTTGCTGATCCCTCTATCCAGAATGACCTCCCCTCTTACCCCCCACTCACTGTCACACTTTTTACACACTTTCTTTAACTCTTTACTCAGAATTCACCATCTCAAGGAGTCCTTCCTGACCACTCAATCTAAAAGTTTTCCTTCTCCCAACATTCATAACCTGCTTTCTTACCTCTGCCCCTTTGTCACCTCTAACCTTGAGCATATTTTACTTATTTGTCTTATATTCGATCTCTCTCACCAGACCATATCTCCATGAGAATAGATGTGCTTGTATGTTTTGTTTGCACTATATTCCATGTGCCTGGAAGAGTGTTTGGCACATAGTAAGAACTCTATGAACACCAGTTGAATGAAATGATCAGAGAAATTCTTATTCCTAAAAAATGAAACATACCAAATAAAGGAGGAAAGGCTTTTTTATATAAGCAGTTTTATGGGGAAAAAAATCTCCTATTAAGTTTCCAAATATATTATTTTTTAAAATTCTTTTGATCCTCAATATCTGTCTCCCTCCCATAAGAATATTGGCTCCATGAGGGCGGGAATTTTGGTCTATTTTATTCACTATTGTCTTCCCAGTGCTAGAGCAGAGACTTGTTCACAGTAGGCTCCTAATCAATAAATACTTATTGAACACTGGATGACAGAATTCATGTATATTGATTTTTATGCTTGAGATCATGTAAATGTACTCTTTCCATCTGGCATTGTAATTTTAATGTGACCATTTCCAAGTTTCCATATACTTCACACAATCACCACAAAAAACATTCTACAAAATTCTTCCATGCTATGGTTCCATTCCCAACTGAGTTACTTTAGAATTTCAGTGTTGATGAATATTTCTCTTCTACATATCATTGCACACACAAGGGACTTGTTTCCCTGGAGTCATTACTGTGGGATATTTTTTAAAAATTATTGTACTGGTAAGGAGCATGAACGCTTTTATAGCTTTCATATTGAGTACCAGGGCAGCATATAGAAATTTCTGGTTCACTTGGGATGCAACTTCTGATATGCTGAGCTGTGATGCTTGTTACTAAGGCAAATGAATTTTTATATAATCTTATTCCCTCAGCTTCTGTTTCTGATAAAACTGCACAATAAGATACATTACAAGTATCTTTCAAAGTATTTACTTTCAGGACCATGTATGATTAGAAGATATTCTCTGAGATCAAGCCACTTGGAAAATGTTTCTGTACCTGAACAGAACCTGACTAAATCTTCCCCCACAGAAAAAAGTCTCCAGATGACCCAGGGAGTCAGCAAACTGTGGTCCTGGGCTATTTGTGTTTATCAATGAAGTTTTATTATAATGTAGCCACACTAATTTGTTTGTTTATTATCTGTGGCTGCGTTTCTGCTGTAACTGCAGAGTTGAGTAGTTGTGACAGAAACCACATGACCCACAAAGCCTAAAATATTTATTATCTGACCCTCTACAGAGAAAGTCGGCCAACCCCTCCCAAGTATAACACAGGGTAGTGAATACCACAGAAGTTGTCCGTATTTTTCTTACCACAGGCAGGATCTCTCTGACTGAATATTAATGGCACTTTGAAGGATTTTGGAGTGTGGAAAAGTAGTAGAGCTCAGTAAAATGAAGGGCTGGGATAAAGTGAGGCATTAGGAAGAAAGCTCACAAGTTATGTAAACAACTATAGCAAAGGTGAATGCATTGCAAATATTAAAACAGCATTACATTTTAATTGTATATACCTTACCAGAGGAACTTTTGAAGATGATTTTTTGTGTATCAGATGAAACAACGGGTCTAATATAACCCTGCTAATAAAACCTAGCCTGCAACATGTTAATCTGACTTGTTGGCACTGAAGTCACAGGATGTGAAGAGTGATTGTCAAGTTGATCATCCGTGTCTGCCTGTGTCTTCTAATAGTGAACGGCCATTCACTCAGGCACTCATCAGTCACCGTGTGAGCCCAGTCCGGGGGTTTCAGTCATACTCTGAGGATGGGTGAGAGCTTCAAGAATAGATGTGGCCTACAGTGAACTCTGGAGGGGGGGAATTAAACATGAAGAGTGTGAGGAGCTTACCAGGCAAAGAGAACGTTCACAAGGACATGGGGCTATTTCTATAGCTTTTGTGGAGAAAGCTCAGAGCGTCCGGATTCTAAGAGTAGAACATGCAAATGGGCAGTGGTGAGCAATGAGCTGAAGAAGCAGGCAGGAACCTCGTGAGCCATTTTAAGAAGCTTAAAATTCTACCCTGCAGGGAGGGGGCAGCTACTGAACACTGAAAGTTCTAGGCCAAAGAAAGACATGATGATCAGGGCCACCAGGGAACTTACAGGAGACAGATTTCAGGACAAGATGGCAGCAGAGATGAGCGGGACTATTGTAACTGTATGGGGGTGGAGGCTCGGGGGCAAGGCTGTGTTCCATGGAAAGGTGCTCAAGTGTCCCACATGGACAGAGGGGAATGAAGTCTAGATGGGCCCTAAAATAAGTAAAGGGATTACATGATTTAGGACATCGGAAGGTAACCACAAAAGCGTTATCTAGGCAGTCCCTAGTCAGCAAAGGGGGCAGTGATTTAATATACACTGTGCCCTGTCAATGGTGACTGTAACAGATTTTCTGGATCTGCTTAAATGTTACATATGGACCTTCCTCCCCTCGAGAAAGGAAACAAGCATCTGGGTATCTTTCCCTCTCAGCCACCAAAAAGTTCCCCATCCAGCTTTGATCAGACTGCCAAGCAACTATTCAGCTGCCCTAACAAAGCTATAAAATGGGTGAGAAGAAATGGATTTCACATACAATCTTCTCAGTTTACAAATCTGTGAAGTCTAGAAGTCACAGGGATGCCCAAGAAATAGACATAAGGTTCAAACAACCTATACACTACATGTTTGATACATAAGAAATTGACTTTGTGAAAGCTTGGTTTTGTGGAACGTGAAATACTGCATCGTAATATATAACAAGGTTTAAAAAAAAAAAAACATCGAACAGAATATAATTTGGATAGTGTTTTAAAGATTTATTTATTTATTTGAGAGAGAGAAAAAGAGAGAGAGCGCACAAGCACACACACAAGCGCACGCACAAGCGGGGGTAGGGGCAGACGAAGAGGGAGAAGCAGACTTCCCCCTGAGCAGGGAGCCCGATGCGCGGCTCGATCCCAGGACCCTGGGATCATGACCTGAGCCGAAGGCAGCTGCTTAACTGACTGAGCCACCCAGGTGCCCTGATACGGATAATGTTTTAAGAAACTGAGGACTGGCAAACTTCTAATTAGATGAAGGGCTAGAAGAATAAGCTTCTCAAGACAGAAGCTGGCACTGTGCACTGGCAGTGCAGAGATCAGATCCTGACAGAGGCTGATGGACACCCAGAATTATTCACGGCAGCTTGTGAAGAGTGCTAACCACAAGAGACTTCACATGGGGATGACAGATGCAGGGCAAGGATGCAGAAGAGGGCTCAGGGCTCCTGTTCCTTTAAGGCTCCCAGCTTGGTTTTATGAGCAATAGTGGATCCAGAATTAACTGTAAAATGCTTAGGCGTACTTTGTACTTTGTGGTCTGAATTGCAGCTGCTCAGCAGATGGGAATTACCCACACATTGAACGTCTGCCATTAATAATGGACTTAGAAAGAAATGAGTTCCTCAATCTTATCATGCTATTTAGCTGGCCGGAAGAAACAATTTTTTTAAGATTTTTATTTATTTGACAGAGAGAGACACAGCGAGAGAGGGAACACAAGCAGGGGGAGTGGGAGAGGGAGAAGTAGGCTCCCCGCGGAGCAGGGATCCCGATGAGGGGCTCGATCCCAGGACCCTGGGATCATGACCTGAGCCGAAGGCAGATGCTTAACCTACTGAGCCACCCAGGTGCCCCCGGAAGAAACATTTTTATTTGATCATATAAAACTGTAATAATCATGGACATGGGACAGCATGATGGATGGAACGGAGTTATGCCTTGCATCCATAAATAGAATGGATGTCAAATTTTAGTTGTAATAAGAGTTCTCGCTCTTGTTGTAGTAATGATATACAGTGTAATTAAGTGGATATCCGATCCCTTTCCTGGAAACCAAAAACCCTGTCCCACTCTTTGTGAAGCGATTCTTACTATTTGGACCCAATAAAGGTAAACCAG